ATTTTCAATTTGACCTCCTGTGTATGTATTCAAAGAAACCCCACACTCTTGTGATTTTTGTGAGATTGACAGTGATTTCTGTGTTTAGTTTTATCAATGCGTGCATATGCATGTGTGAAAACTTCACAATACTTCAACTCAGTATCAGTTTTAACTTGAATTTATTAGGATACCAGTTTTGGTAACAGTATTTACATGGTAAACAATACAATCACAGAAGTAATGTGCTAAGTTAGCATGAAACCCTATAATAAAGTACTAAACAGATTAGTTGTTGGAATCAAATACAATCTAATTTACTGAAGAAATTGAAGAGAGTACTAAATAATAAAATAACGCTTTTCAAGCGAATTGGTGTTTTAAATTTTAATCAAAAGTGGATATACTTCTTTCCATTGTTTTTAAAAAAAACTCACAATCCTATCTATAGCTTTTTAATTATTTTTTCCTCAAGTTAAAGTTACTAATCTAAGAAACTGTAGTTAAAATGTCAACGGAACAAAAGAATAACACATCAATTTAACACATGGAACATTAGGTAATAAATGTAAACTAGTAAATGGTAACATTTCTAACTGATTGTAGCTTAACTTAAAACTTCCATAAATATTATTTACATCTAAGTGAAGAAAAAACACTCTTACTTTTGACTGAGAAAAGGGAAGAAAAGAAAGTTAATTCTCTTGATCAAAAAAAAAAGAAAGTTAATTCGGTTATTCAGAATATATGAAAAAGAAAACAAGTGAAATTAAATGTAGAATCATGGATTATGAATCCGTACCAAATCGGGATCTAACAATAGTTAAAAAGAGCACTCGATGTGAAAAACCTTCCTAACTTGAGGGAGACAAAAAACAATAAAAGTAAAATTTTTTGTTTTCAGACAACAAAAAAAAAAACTAATAAGTAAAAGGAACAGAACAGAAGCTGCTGTTTTGTCCAAAGCTTCTTCCTTTCTCTTTAACCAAAATTATCAAAATAGACAAAATTAACTTTTTTGTTTTGTTTTTTTGTATTAAATGTTTTCTTTCTTCTTCTTTTGTTTGCTTTCCTCGTAAAACCCATGACCCCTTTGGTTCCTCTCTGCTTCTAATCTTCAAGGAAAAAAAATGCCTTCCTTTGCTTTTGGATCTCATCACCATTTGGCTAATCCCACTGAGTCGCCGTACACCGTCGAAATTAGCATCCACGGCGACTCCTCCGACTTGGATTCCTTGTCTGAGGTCGACTTAGAGAGCGGCGGTGTGACGCCGCCTGTGAAGAAGCTACATTCTAGTAGTGGGAAGCAGAGGAGGGTGAGGAGGAGGAAGAAGAAGAAAAGGAAGAAGAAAGAAAGTAGAGATTGCAGGATCTGTCATCTGCCTTTAGAGACTAACAAAGCAGATGAAGAAGGTGAAGATTCTGATGAACAAGAAGAAGGTGAAGAAGAAGATGAAGCAAGAGAAGGTGATGCTGAAGAAGAAGAGTATTATGGTTTGCCTTTGCAATTGGGTTGTTCTTGTAAAGGTGATTTGGGTGTAGCTCACAGTAAGTGTGCTGAAACTTGGTTCAAGATCAAAGGAAACATGTAAGTCTCCTCAATTATTAATATAATTAATTTTTCTGGAAAAATACTAAAGATTCTAATGAATCTGTGAATAAACAGTGAAGTGTGAAACTTTATGAGGAAACAAAATTATTTGTTTAGTGTACTTTGAGCTTTATTCTTGTCTGATTTTCTAGAGATCTATATGATTACTTGTCAAAAAGATTGTCTCTGCTGAAGATGGAATCTACAGTTTTTGTGACCACCAATTATTCAGATTTTGTTCCCATGTGCTGTCTCATGTTCTTATTTTCCTGCACTTTTGGACTGATTCTTTATGTCTCATACTGTATCTCTATGATTTGCTTCAACACATTGGCTTGATTTTGAAGCTTCACTAAGAATCTTACAGCTCCTTTTGTTAGTGCAGTTTGATTCTCTTACCAGTCACCATTATACTAATAGCTCTGTGTCTATGTTAGACTCTTAGGCATATTAGAAACCAGTTTTAGATTTTATTCTTGTGTTTTTAGTAAGTTGAAGAGAATCTTTAAAAGCTATACTGATTACCATTTATGATATTGTTTCTATGAATCTGAGCAGGACATGTGAGATATGCGGTGCAATGGCTATAAACGTAGCTGGGGAACAGTCGAACCCAGAGAGCACTGCTTCTACACAATCACAAGTGGCTGCAGGACAAACTCAGAGTCAGACAGAGCCACGGGGAATCTGGCATGGTCGCCGTGTTATGAACTTCTTACTTGCCGCTATGGTCTTTGCCTTTATTGTTTCTTGGCTTTTTCACTTCAAAATCCTCAAGTGAAAGAAAAGTCCATCCCACACTCTCTCTCTTCTCCTGTTCTTGAGCAGCTTGCAATAGCTTAATCAATCCCCTCCTGTCGCTTGATTGTTCGTTCACACGTTTTGTTAGCTGTAAAAACTTTGGTAGTATTTAGATTGTTGTCACTTGTGAGCTTTACATCTTGTATAATATTCATCTCTACTCCGGCTTGGTCAAACATTGTGTGCAATCAAGAAGAGTAGACCTGTGGATTCGGTTAGTTCGGGTTATTCGGTCTGATAGTTCGGTTCAACATAAATTTACCAAATTCATCCGAAGTAAAGTTTGGTATTATGTTTTTCAAAATCCTACCTGAATTTTTGATTTAGTTAGATTTTAGTTTAATTTGTTAAAATTTGGGATGAATTAGGTTATTTAGGTTTAGAATTTGGTTTGGATTTTGGGTTACTTTTTTTTTTGGTCAAAGGATTTTGGGTTACATATAGGTACTTTTTTAGAAGAAAACCAACTAACCGATTGCAAAAGCTGAAATGATAAACCTACCAAATCAAACCGAACCTCTAACCAAAATTTTGATTCGGTTCGGATCAAAATCTAGGCCTAAAGAAGAGGGTCTTACCTCTTTTGGATTCAGTCACAAACATCCTTACTGGTAATAGAAATAGATAGCTGTATTGAATCCGTTTCTTTTTTTTTTACTACTCTTCAAATTATGTTCAAAGAAGAAAATCACTAGCAGATAAAAGGATCTTGGACAAATGAGAAAGATCCTTCGATTCACAGGAAAACCACAAAGGTTAGCATGAGCTGAGCTCGAATGCTTAAACAAAAGACAATAAGGCGATTTCAGAATCCAAGACGCAAGAGAGAGAGAAGAAACCTATACACACTTGGAAGTTTTCAGTTTCTATTGTTCTGTTTCTTGGCTTCCAAGGAAGTTCCATCTTTTAGGGTTTCACAAGCGTCTTTATCCATTCCAAGGCTGAAGAGAGCAGCAGCCTGAAGATAGAATGCTGTTGGCCACTCAGGAGACACTACTTGCGCCTGCATCGCATCACCAAGTGCCTCTTGAGGCTTGTTGCTCATCAGATAACACAGACACCTCCTAGCAAAAACCGTTGGCGATACCATTGTGCCATCTTCAATGAACTGCAGATACATTCAGAGACCACTGATTGAGTTCAGTTGTCTGGTAATTGTGTTTCTAGGTTTCAAGAAAGTACCTGCGTGTAACATTCAATGGTAGTGACAAAGTCTTTGCCTTTGAACGCAGCATCTCCTTGTTTCTTAGCGTTTAGTGTCTCCTGAATCTGGTCGGTCCACACTTGGAATGAGAGCTGCATTGCAAATGAAACTTTGTAAGTTCTCAATGGAAGACTAAAGAAGATTTTGTGTTCATGTATGTACCTCATTGGCTATGCCTTCATCGTCTTTGTATCCAACCTTTTCAAGAATCTCATGAATAGCAGTGAGATCAAGTCTTGAACAAGCATCACCAAGAGGGGTCAGGGAAGTTGTTTCCTTTGGAGAAGCAGCTCCATGTGGAATCCCCATTAAGACATAAGACGGAACCTGAAGAAAAACAACAACAAAGAAGAGGAGTCACAACAACAAGACGTGAATGATTGATAACATAAAAGAGGAAGTTGTTTTGGTGAGAGCACCATACATCAGTTTCCTTCTGAAGAGGAGCAAGTGAGGTCACAAGAGACTTCACATTTGGCCTTTCACGAGCTTCATACTGCAAACAACGGGAAGCTAAGCGAACCAAATCAGTTCCATCATCGTTTGAGAAATGACCGTCGAGAGCTGAGTCCATTAGCATCAGGAAGTTCTTCCCACGAATCAGATCAAGCGCCTGCAAGAAACTAAAAGATCAGTAACTTTCCAAGAAAAGTTGAGCCATGTTTAGGTGCTTACATGGCTTGGTGGTATGTGTTTGCCACTGAGAAGATCTAACAACAGTGTTCCAAAGCTGTAGACAACACTCTCTGGAATCACTCTCCCTGTAAGATATTAAAACACACACACATGGATTCAACAGATCAGTATAATAACTATGTCATACAACAAAACACATAACTTGAAGCCATTGCCATCTAACATCCAGTAACTGACCTGTTCTTAAGTACTCAGGAGGTGTGAAAGCCAGATTTGTACTGTAACTCTTCCCATCCCTACTATTCTTCATAAGACCGAAGCAAGATAGTCTCGGATTACCATCCTGTAATACAGTATAAAACTCTATATATTAATAACGTTGGTACTATGATAATTTATTAATTTATAGAGTAAGCTAGAGAAGTGGACCTGGTCAAACAAGATCCTGTAAGCGTTAAGATCATGGTACAAGGCACGACCTTTGCTGCTGCAATACTCAAGTGCTTGTGCAAGATACAAAGCCACTCTCACCCTCATCGCCCACTTCATTGGCTGGCTATCCCCTGCACACATTATCAACCCAAGACTTTTTAGTCCAAAATTGGAAAAGCTCATACCAAATAGTAATTAAAGATAATTTTAACACATCTTTCAATCTTCTACTTATAAATACAGAACCAAAAACAGAAACTTCCAACTGTATCTTCTTCTTTTTTTTTCTGAATACCCAAGACCCGAAACCACAACATATAATATTAGTTTCGTCTCATTTTGAGCTAATAGTCCAACTGAATCTTCTAAAAAAGAGCCCCTTACAATGGAAGAGATGCTTAGAGAGAGTTTCAAAAGGCATAAACTCAGCAACGAGCAATCTCTCATCTCCTTCACAACAGAAACCAATCAAGTTGGCTAACCTCTCACTCCTCAACTGCCCCACAGCTTTTGCTTCCTCCTTGCAAAAAAGACCCAAAACAAATTAAGCAACTGCAGAGTTACTAATGATTATTAGCAAAAAAAGGAATAAACTTTAAGAGAGAGTTTTTTGTTACAAGGAATTGACGAGTGTCAGGCCAAGCGGATCTATTGAAGCGTTTAACAGCGATCCATCGTTCATCTTCGAGTCTGCCTTTATACACAACATTAGGAGCTTTCACGCCGTGTTCCGACACGATACTGTCCGTTGAGAAACCTGAAGTAGCAGTTCGTAGTTGGTCGAAGCTGAACTCTGTAAACGACGCCGAACCGTCTGTCCCATTTTCTGTCGGAATAATTAAAAAAAAAAAGCTCAAAACTTTGTAAGAGCAGAGATAGAGAGAGTGAAAATGAAAATGAGGTAAAGGTGAAGAGTTTATAATACTAACCAAGATCAGAAGCGTCGTTGAGAGATGATTTGTGATGTGTTTGCCACCAACAGAGAGATAGCTTAGAGCAACGAGGTCCCATTTTGAAAATGCTTCGATTCAAAAGATTTTTAAGGAAAGAAAGACGAAAGCTTATTTACTTCGTTAAACCCGCAAAGCAAAAACCCTTTTTTCCTGAGTATGAAGTCTCAAGTCTGAGTCACTTCTTCAGAGGTTAATAAGAGAAAGATTAAAAAAAAGTTTTTTTTTTGTTCTCGAGGAGAAAGGAATCTAAGAAAAAATGAGGGAGGAAATTTATAACAGCGCATGTAGTGGAGAAGACACTGATTAAAAAGGCAGGATATTTATTTATTTATATATTTATTAAGCCTTTCATATAAAACCAATGTTATATATCACTGATATTTTTATATATACACCGCTGAAGCGATATTTTTATTGGTTTTATTTATATGATGATATCATCACTTTCCAAATAGATATTACATATTGCACTACACTGACCAAAGATGTCTAAAACCACCAAATCATAAAAAGCTTTTAACAATTGGTATGGTCACTGTAAATTAAAATATAGTGTATTGTGATGCATTTGCTTCACCTTTAAAAATTAGAAAAAGTATGCGTAATCTTATAAATCAAAATAGACTGGTTTTAAAGCTATATTATTAATTTCGCCGCTGAAACAAACCTCTTGGTTCTGAATACTTTTTCTTTTAGTCTCTGAATACTTTAACTTATAAAATTTTTGTTTTAGCTAAATATGTGGTCTCAGTGATTTTGAAATGGGGGTTTTATCAACCATGTCTTACTATTTTAATTTCGCCTTTTAATTAGCGTATAATATAAGTGCATTTGAACACACAAACAAAGTTGCCCAAAAAAAAAAGAGTACACACAAACAGAAAACTTTCCAGCTACAATGACGCAGATCAGTGACCCAACAAAACGAAATAGGTCCACAGAGCATTTTAAACACCAGTCAAAAGCTTTTGTTGACATATAATATATACTATCAATCACCATATGTGTATAATGTATTACACCGCGACCCATTTTTCTGATAAATTTTTTATTTTGCCTACTTTACTTGATTACATTTTGGAATCAACTTTTGTATTTTTATTTTTATTTTTCAAATATAGTATTGTTTTGTTATAAGAACAATAAATGTTGGTTGGTGGAGACAAAGAGGATCTTGGAGATAAATATGGTAAAGAAGAAAGTAGTAAAATAGAAGATGACTTCACGCGTGTGCCAAGGAGATGTTTGTTGTCCTCTGGGGGACACATTTTAGCGTTAATTAAGAAGCTCTTAAGTGACCGAGTCAGGACCACTATCAGCAAAATAATAAGGGAAGATAGTTTTAATTCTAACAATGGAGTGTTGTTTATTGATGTTTCAGAGGGTTTGAAGAAGACCAATTACAATATACCTTTACATTAAAAAAAGAAGTAGACAACAAAACGAGCTGAAGTTGTCTACAGTTACATATTACGTCCACTCAACTTTGAGTTTAAAGAGAACACATTACTTTGCTCTTAACCACGATCAAACTATCCGCACAGTAACGAACACATGCAGCCACGTAGAAGCAGATTATAGTGTAATTAATTACTATATAATCAAGTAGTATTGTACTTGAACAAAAAAAAGTCTTATATGTTTAGAACACAAAAAGTAGGAGTTGAGAGGTGTTCTATAAGTACATAATGGCATGTATCTATTACTATATATTTAGATACACTGAGCCATGTAATGATGGAATTGGCGGATCCCTGTAAAAAAAGAATCTAAAAAGATGATAGTAACAAGCTGGCAAGGTGGAAACTTGACACAATAATTTTGGTACAGAAAATAATAAATAACACCATCAGAATTTCAGAACCAGAATTATTGATCATTGTTCCAAAAAAAAAATGAATTATTGATCATAAGTTCTAGTATGGTAATAAGTTATTCCCAACATGTTTTAGATCATAAACATAACATTTTACTATTTTAGTAAATAAGTTAGCCTAACAGCATTTATGTAGCATTATATTATTTAAAATCGAAATGGACATCCAAACAATCATTTTGACAAAGCTAAGATATTTTTGTGAAATCTCGGATAATCTTCTAAAATGTGTGAATCATAGTCTTATTTTTCTGGGATATGGCAAAACTGGATGTTTGATGGGTCTACCATGTTGCTTGTTGTGTGTTCAAAGTGCATAAAGCTATAAAATCCACTCTGTTTCTCACTGTCTTTGTGACAAGAAAAACAACTTCACGTGAACGATGGGAACATTTATATTGTTTTCATATGTGTAACCATAGAAATGTTTTGACTTTAAAAGACTATAAAGTTAACTAATCAAAAATCTTAAATATATGCAAAACCACGACTTATCTAATCGTCTAAAAGATTTTTATGACAATGAAACCTGTCTGACTGATGAGTGAGGTTCAAGAACATAATTCTTGTGACTCCAATTCCGATATCAGCTGCCTCAGAAGATAGAGACTCATCATGACAATGGGTCACATGGCAACATAGATAAAAAGGCCCTCTAAATATTTGATTGGGCTAAGAAGTCAAATAAAAGCTTACTTACCGCTTTTCATTGATGCAGGCTGATGCTTCTCTATGCGAGCCCTCACCCTATTTTCTAAAGTAGTGCATATCGTAAACAAAAAAAGTATAAGATAGAACATAGTTTGAACCAATTATCATCTTACTCGGATTGCCAAAGGTTTTTGACCAAACCAATAGCATAGTGAAATATATAGTTAAGGATCCCTCCATTTTTCCCTTACCAAGGCTAGCTCTTACTTCTGCGGTATCTCCTGAGTTGTGTTTAATGGTTTGATCAAATTCTTGCAGACGTGACAGTATAAAAGCTTAGCTACATTGTCTGAGTGACCGGATCAGTTTCGGTTAGGCTACCCGGATATGGGTTTACAAACATGTGACCTCTAATCTTTATGATTATGGAACGTTTGGAGACAACCTAGAGACAAAGCCGCATCCTTGGTGTACACGTAACCTCTCTAATTTGTTTTTATTTTTTGTCACTCCTCCCTAATTCGTTTATTTTCATTTTTTACTAATCCATGTTTCCAAGAACTTACCCCATTAATAAGAAATAAAAACTAGAGGTTCGTGTCCAATCTTGTTGAAATGATATGTTTTCTGGACTAGCGAACAAATCGTTTACCCTAAACTTAAAAAAAAATTATCCTTTTTTTTTGAAAAAAAAACTTGAATACCCTTTCACCAAATTTGCCTAATTATTTTGAAAAAAGGAAATAAATGTATAAAGAAAGAAAGAAAAAGGAAACAAAAATAGTAAAAGAAAGAAAATGAAATATTGGTTTTATTGAGATAAACACTATACTACTAGGATGTTAATGACTTAACATATTTGTATTTATTTATAAGCTTATTTCCTAAAAGAATTGGGAGAGATAGGGCTTTGCATTATAAACACATAACTTCCTTGAGCGAAACTATTATGATTAGAGAATTGGTTTGACACTTGGAATACAAACTGCGAAACTATTATTCTCGAACCTTCACGAACGAATCGCCAACATGAGTAGCAGGATTATACGCTTAACTCATGCTGTTACAGAATCTGATTTTGAAAGCGACTAGAACTAAGATGATTTAATGGATGATATCAGATATGAATGTCAAAAATTTGGTAGATTGGTGAATGTTGTCATCCCGCGGCCCAATCCAGATCCTCTTCTGACACCATCAGGAGTTGGAAAGACTTTCTTAGAGTATGCAGATTTGGAGGTAGCATCAAGGGATAGATTGGCAATCAATGGAAAACAATGGGGAAGGAACATAGTGGTGGCTGAATACTATCCGGAAAACATGTATGCGATTGGCCATCTTGATGGCTGATTTTCGATTTACACCATTCTCTAATTATCTCTTGTTTCGTTTTTTTGATGCACTTATGTGTTACTCTTTTGTTTTTTTTTTAAATATAAAGGAATGGATCATAAATATCTATCTAGCTCTGAAATCTGCAAACAATCCTGGCCATTATGGTCTTATGTAGATTGAGATTTCTCTGATGTTGTGCTGCGAGTAGGGTTCGTTTTCTCCTCTTTAACTTGGATATTTTTACTGAATCTGCAAACAATCGTCACTATGTTTCTCACTGTCTTTGTGACAAGAAAAACCAAGTATATGTGAGCGATAGGAACATTTTTATTGTTTTCATATAACTATATAATCTTTTTGACTTTATAAACAACTATAAAGTTAAAAAGATGAACTAATCAAATATGTCAAATTTATGCATAACCACAGTTATCTATGTGTCTATACGGTTTTTGAGACAATCAAGCCTGTCTGACCAGATGGGTGAGGTTCTTGTGAATCTAATTCCGATATTACCTGCCTCAAAAGAAAGAGACTTATCATGACAATGGGTCACATGGTAACATAGATAAAAAGGACATATATTAGTAATATCACCATACATTAGTAATATCTCGTTTCTAGTATGTATAATGTTGTTCTACTTTCTAGCTGGGAAAGTCGTGGGCCAAAACCTGGGACCATTGGGACAAGTCTTTTTTTCTTCAGAAATTCGAGACTTGTACTCGAGAAATGTTTGCTAATCAGTAACTCATATGCTTCAAAGGTAGCATGCCAGCAAGCAAAAAGAAACAGTTTCATCTTTGTTATTAAATTTTTTTAAAAAAAATGTTTTGGTCAAAACCTTTAGGTACTTATCCGATTTTGCAGTAAAGTAAATATATCACTGGAAAAATAAGAAAAGAACCTTGGCTTACAAAAGCTGAGAAGTCCAAAGTCCAAACAAAAGTGGGAACTAAAGGGGGGAAATACAATGTACACAAACACAAGTGTTGCAGTGTAACACAAACTGACAAATATTCATCTTATCACAACAAAGTATTAATTCTTTTGTGTAATAAAACATTCGTTAAGAGGGCATAAGTAGAGACAAAAAAACAAAGTACAAATGATGAGAAGCAAAATACTATATAGGCCTCAGATTAAGATTTGATGTGGGATGCAAAGTTTGTAGAGAAAACCAGAAATACTTCAACTTTTGGCTCCTCTTTTGGATTAAAAGAATCTCTCCCTGAGAGAGATCAACTCGTTTTCGACTTCGCTCATTGACAATCGGTTCCCTGGAGATTCTTCACAACACTTAAGTCCCACCTCTAAAACCAGTGTCAAACACTCATTAACAGGGAAACCAACTCTGAGTCCACTATTTATAACCGATTTGTCTGCAATGTCTATCACCTTATCTGGCAACGCCAACTTGGTGTAGCTGTGTAGAGTAAGGTTTCCCCTAAATAAATCATTTGTTGGTCGTTTTCCAGTGAACATTTCCAAAAGAAGAACACCAAAACTATACACATCACCATATATTGATGGTTGTCCTCCCATTCCATATTCTGCATCATAATTCAAAGAAAGAAAAATATTATATTAGAAAGGAAGATAATATACTAACTTTATTCATTTAAACATTACAAGTGTGTGATAATAGACCTGGTGCTGTGTAGCCAATGGTTCCTCTGACACCAACCGAGCTTAGTTGGTTGAGGAAGGAATCTTTGTCGAATTTTAGGAGAAGACATGCCAGACCAAAATCACTAACATGGGCAGTCAAATCATCGTCTAGGAGAACGTTGCTTGGCTTAAGATCGCAATGAGCTATAGGTTCATGGCATTGAACATGAAGATAGTCCAAAACAGAAGCCACGTCTATCGCTATGTTAAGCCTTTCAAGAAGTGTCAAGGTTCTTGATGGCCTGCGAATAACCTCTTCCACTTCCTCTGGGTGCAGCCACATATCTAGACTTCCATTAGGCATGAAATCATAGATTAGAGCCCTAAATACATTTCCTTGAAAATCAATACTCGAACAAGCAGTCAATAGTTTCACAAGATTACGATGTCTTATATTCTTCAAAGCTTCACATTCTGCCAGAAAACTCTTCATTGCTCCACGTCTTTGCATGTTTAGAACTTTCACTGCAACAACATTTCCCTCGGATGGGAGCATCGCTTTAAATACAGTACCAAAGTCTCCAGACCCGATCAAATTGCTCGAAGAAAAGCCATCAGTCACGTTTCGGAGATCTCCATAACTTATCTTTTCATGGAAGGCACCCAAAGTCGAAGAAGCTTGATTATTGGTCCAGCGGCTATTCTTTCTTTCTCTGAACCAAACCAGAGAAACTATGACTAAAAGAAAAAGAAAAGCAATGCCTACGCTGACTCCTATCACAACTTTCTTCAAATGCTTTTTCTGTCGTGGTGGTGTCTTCACAAAGCATGTATTTAGTTGCAACTCCCTGATGCCTCCACATAGATCTTTATTTCCAAATAATGATATTATACTAGCATTTTGGAAAATTCCTTCTGTTGGCACCCTTCCCTCGAAATTGTTCATGGATAGATTAAGATACTCTAACGAAGAAAAATTTGAGAAATATCCGGGAATACTTCCAGAAAGATTATTGCTCGATAGATCAATTCTTTTAACACCCACCAACCCTCTTATATCTGGAATATCTCCATCAAAAGAATTTTCATGTAGATAAAGTATTTCCAGTGAAAGACAGTTTCCCAAGGTTTGTGGAAGTCTTTCCGACAATTTGTTACCCCAAAGAGATAATGCAATGAGATTTTTCGCTCGTCCAATCTCATTTGGTAAGGAGCCAGTCAAAACATTACGTTGCATGCTCAGCGTAACAAAGGTTTGAATTTGCATAACTTCCCGGGGTATAGTCCCACTCAAGTTATTAAACCCAATAAATAACTCTCTTAGGTTGCTACAATTACCGAGACTCAAAGGAACAGTTCCTTCAAAGCTGTTGTTGTTCAAATACAGTGACACTAACCGAGTGATGTTACCTATAGAAGATGGTATCTCCCCTGAGATACTATTTGAACTGAGATACAATCCCTCCAAATTAATAAGCTTACCAATAGAGGCTGGGAGTAGACCCGTTAAACGGTTTACTCCTAATCCAAATCTTTGTAGGCTTACGAGATTCCCGATTTCGTGAGGAATGCTTCCAGAGATCAAATTTCTTCCAAGGTCTAGGTTCTGGAGGTTCGTAGACAGATTAGCAATGGAGACAGGCAAGTAACCACCAAGCCTATTTTCACCAACATATAAAGTTTCTAGGTGGGTGCAGTTAGTTAAAGCACCAAGAAATTCAAGATCTTTCAAAGAGTAATTCCCAAAAGAATTACCAAGAAGGGAAAGGTATTGCAAATTCTGCATTTTGCCAAAACTTGATGGAATACTTCCAGTCAGACTATTGCGACTGATTCCAATTTTTTGAAAATTCGAGATGTTGGCAAGTGTCGTTGGAATGGCTCCTGTGAAATGATTCCTTCCCAGTGATAACCATTGAAGATTTGGCAGCAGATTACCAAACTCGGACCGCAAGCTACCGGAGAATCGATTACCAAGGACGCCTAAAAACTTAAGTGAAGACATATTGTAGAAAGCCGGAGGGAAAACACCAGAGAAATTGTTCATTGCCAACTCAAAATACACTATTTGAGTCAACCTAGATATATCATGTGGCACCCCTCCTTCAATACTGTTTTATCCAATGTCAAAATATCTAAGGGACGTCGAGTTTCCTAGAGATGCAGGGAGGTTTCCTCCCAGGTTGTTTTTTTGAAGATCTAAACTAATTAGCTTCTTCAGTAATCCTATTTCTCCAGGAACACCGTGTTCAAGACGGTTTGATGATAAATCAAGAATTGAAAGGTTGGAGCAATTAAACAGAACAACTGGGATAGCCCCTCTAAGTAAAGTTCTACTCATGTTCAAATACTGGAGCCTGAACAATTTTCCAACCTCTAAAGGGATGGAACCCCTGAAAAAGTTGTCTGCAAGATTCAATGATTTAAGAAATGAGAGGTTACCGACAAAGGGAGAGACAACACCGGTGAGTTTCAGTCCTCCAAGGTCCAGACCAGATACTCTTCTGTGTTTAACGCCGCACTCAACTCCAGTCCACCTACAGACAGGCAGGGAGTCATTCCATGAGCCTAACACAAGTCTACTTGTTTCTGAAACTTGCGATTTGAGCTGCATCAATGCTTGTTTATCAGTCTCCTCCGTCAATCTGACTGTTTGAGCACATACCACATCGGAATTTTCAAGTGACACAATGACAAAGAAACAAGATACAAGAAAGACTTGCATGGTCATACGAGGCCAACTCATGAGGAATATTTTTCTTCTTTAAATTCTCTGGATTCCTATGCAGTCATGAGGAATATTATAAGCTTCAGAAAACTAGCAAATGAAGTGAGGATGCTCTAAAGTAACGGGTGTTCAAATTATTCTCAAGTCTCATTGACTTTGATATTCAAATTACAACAGAGGTCTTATTCAGTTGATTTCGTCCAAGTCAACTGTTAGGCCCTTATCACATATATATATATATATATATAAATATAGTTTAGTAAAGAAAATTTGATTAAATACTGTGAAGCACGGGACGTCATTTTCAGTTAGATAGATTCCGTACCCAAAACGTTTCCGGGATGGGGTCAGCTAGGGTAGTGCACGGGAACGGCTTGGGGGCAGCGTTAGTTATTTGGAAGTTCATGAACAAAATTACGTCACTATTATCTATCCTATACTAAGTTAATTCCTTACTTTTTCTTTAGAATATATCAAAACAAAAAGAAGTAAAACTGATAATCGTATTTCTAATTCTCTTAGTTTATGAACTTTTTATTAGATGAACCATATTTTCATAAATCAATGGTTTAATGATTATTTTTTATAATATAATTATTTAAAATCTTATACTACATTGTTTTCTGTTAAGATCTATAGGATGATTTATTTTATTTTTCAATATATGAGTATATAT